GAGAAATAAGAGAAATTGCATGAAGAGTTAAGCTCAATGCCCTACATGCGCTAGCTGTAAGTACTAGCATCAAGGTCTAACAGTAGCTGGTGAGGATGACGTGCCTTGGAATGGAGAGTGGGAACCACACCCCACTGAAGGTCAGAGGGGCCAGCAGAGCAGAGGGGGAATGGACTTCGGAGTTTACGTCTCAGTTTCAGCTGTCTTTCTATTTCCTGCACTGAAGAGGTTGAAAGTCCCCTGTGGCAGCCAGAGAGCTTTGAAGTTTAACTAGGTACACTGGGGATTTTGTTTTCTCTTGGAGAAACCCTCTTGTTTCCCTTCACGTACCTGAAAAAGGGAAGATCATTTGAAACCCAAGCCCTATAAGCATGGAATTACTGAGACCTGTTTTTAAACTGCAGTGAAAGAAACTTTAGTTCATTTCATCCGTCTCTATTCCTGATTCTCACATAAGAAACCAAGACCTTAAAGGTGGTTGATCTGAGGCCTTTGAATTTGCCAGATGGGAGACCTGGGCCTGGAACACTGGTCTGTTGATTCTTGATCTATTGTATCTTTTACAATTCCTCCCTGGGACATTATTATTTGTATTAATTATAATGATGTCATATTGATGATTAATCTGGTGTATGTTGGGTTGGATAGGTGGAAACCACGTGACCAAGGATAGTTGTGAAAATACCTTCAACCAGTGTGGAATGAGCACTAGGCGATTGGAATCATGTCTAATAAGTCAGAACAGACACTAGCCCTGTACATCCTGACTGAATGTTAACTGGGCCCTGACTGTACACTGGATATCCCTAGGGAGAACTGGACAACCATCAGCAGAGACAGTTTGTTTTGTCTTGTTGCTCCAGAGTTTCTAGGGGTGTAGAGTCTTTTTGTGAGTTGATTAAAAAGATTGACTTTGGTGACCTAGATTGGACAACTATTAATATTTTTCATCTGGAAACTGGCATAATGACTTTGACAGATATGAATTTTTAATAAATGTTTTCTCACCATAGTGTAAAAAAATGCTTTGTTCTTATTGCACCCAGGGGTGGGTATAAGGTAATGTGAAAATGGAATTTCAAAAGGGCAGAAATACATTCCCAGGCTCCCCACTGGGAGAGAAAGTTTTGAGACTGATGTTTTAGAGGAGAGCCTTACTCATTTTGCCTTAATGCTTGACTTTCTCCATAATTATTAGATGGGGATAAATGAAATATCTGCTCTGTGTCCACTTTTAATCTCAGAAATGGCAATTTAATATGGTCTACCATAATAGTAACTAAGCACCAACAGTGATCCAGCTTCTATTTTGGAAAATGGAGTGAGATGGATGTGCTAACACCTTTCCATTCCTGATGTTAATTAATTAATTAATTAACGAGTTTTTTCCCTTAGGGTGCGTGTACTTACCAGAGAGAGAGAAACAGAAACCAAGAGAGAGAAAGTAAGAAATCGAGGGAAGGCCATGCAACAATGCCTTCTCCTCCATTCTCCTATCAGAATTTTGGGCACACAGGTATGCACACATGCCCAGCGTGATTTTGAAACCACGAGGCCCAGGACCTGAACCATGGCTGGCCATGTAACCTCTATGCCATCTGCTGGTCCCCATTCTTGTTTCTATGAGAAACAGTAGTGTGTAGTGTCAGAGACAGGCCTGGATCCAATTTCTGGTTCCCTCAAGTATTAATGTGACCCTCTCGGGCCTCTTTTTTCTCTTCTTCAGAGTTGTTTGATATGAGATTATGCCACTTAACAACAGTCTCCTAATTCATAGAAAGAACCCAGTAGAGAGAGGAGAATGGAGGAGAAGGGATTGTGGTGTGGCCATCCCCCCTGGGAGGTGATTTCTCACTTTCTGTCTCTCTGTCTTTCTGGTGAGTGCACTCACCCTATGGCAAAAGAAAAAAAATCCTCCCCCCACCCCCCCTAAATAAAGAAGGGACCCAGTAGATTCCCTCCTTCTCTCCTTCTCTCCATTTCCCTGGTCTAACCAGAGTGGAACAATCTGTAGTGTTTCACAATTGATTTGCTATAAGTTTTATTATAACCTTTGAAAGTCGGTTTCCATTTTCTTTGTATTGAAGTAGAAAGAGAACTAGGTGCATTTTTAACCCCCAGAGGTACCTTTAGACTTTAATCTAGAAAGAAAAGTCAGCGAAGATGAACAAAAAGTGTGAACTTAATTAAAAATTCTGTGGCTTTCAATGCCAGTTTATTAAGTTACATTTATTAAATATGTTAACACATACAATATTTCATTTACAGTGATTAGAATTCATACAGCCGTGCCCGAAGATGTAGGGTGCATACCAGTTACGTACATATCCAACAACATACAATATGCATTTTACCTTGGGTTTGTGACGTTTTAACATAAAACATAACATTGAAGAAAGCACATGGGGCTTATTACTAAAACCACCTAAACTTAACCTATTTTGTTCAACCTGTATACCCCTGCAACAAAGAAGGGAAAAGTTGTGTATTTTAATGACTTTAAAAATAAAATCATTTGATTAAATTCAGCTACTTGGTTTAAGTGACATTACATGTCTCCTTCCTTCTGAATGCATATACCGTGAGAGTAGGGCTTGCTTGTCATGTGCTCTCTTGATTCTCCAGGATTGAGCTTACTGCACTTATGTGACAAATGCTCAGAACAATACATGATTTGTTGCTGAAGTGGAAAGGATACTGGGCTTGGTGTCAAGAGATAGGAATTCTGGTCTCAATATTCTAACTAGCTATTGTCTGGCTCTGGTCACTGATGTCACCTCTCTGAACCTGGGTTTCTTCATGAAATGATGTTACTTGATAAACTAGCAGACGTTTTCAGCTCTACCCTTTCTCATTAGCCAAGACATTGACATTTCCTCATTGGCCAAGATCTCAGTATCATTTTGTGTTGAGTATACTCTGAACAAGTGGGAAATAATAGCTCTGTCTAGGCTGGATGCTATTGAACTCTTGACAAGGACTACTAGGTTCCTAATGATCAAATAGAACATATAGAAGTCAATCTAAAAAATGGTCACAGAATCATAGATTTTGAAAGGGCTCTCAAAATCCTATGGCTCAATCATTCCCCCAACCTCAAAAAATGGATGGCTTCTTGCAAAAACCCTGTGATAAGTCATTTGTTTGCATATCTCCAGGAACTGAGAATCACAACCTCAAATAATTTTCTTTCTGGGTAGAAAGTTCTTTTGGGTATCAAGTCAAAATGGGACTCCTGTAACTGCAACTCTTTAGCCCTAGCTCTGTCTTCTTGGGAGACACAGAAGTCTCTTCCCCACTTTAAATCATCTCATAGGTACTTGAAGATAATTCTCTTCCTTCAATTTCTCCTCCAGTCATTAAAATCAATACTATTTGCTAAGAATAGAGGGGAATTAGATATGCCCAGGATTATGGTTCAGGAAGATAGCCTCCTAGTACTAGATATGCCCTTAACTTATTGCATGGCCATGAACAAGTAACGTCTCCTATACAGGCTGGCACAGTATTTTCCTCTTAGTATGGGGTAGGGCTAGTATCCAGAACTTGGGAGGGGAGCAAGGAATGGATGTGACTGCTTACCACTGGTACAAAAAATATGTCAGGGGCTAATAGCCTACTGAATTATTCTTAGGCCCAGCTGCCAATATGATGCAATAATGTGAATATCCAGGATAGTGATGTACTCTTAAAAAAATTCTGCTAAAATTCACAAAATACTTCTAAGACTCTGGGCCTTAGGAGGACAGGAAATCTTGAGGTCAGAGACTTCTCTCCATGTGTTTTTGTAAGGTGCAGAATAGAAATAGTCCTGTCTTGAAGAACTAATCCCCAATGTCACAATCATGGGAAAACGATTGGGTAAGGACTTGGGAAAATACCTTACAAGAGAATGTTGGCAACAGCCCTGTCTTGTGTACAGGGAGTTAGTTGAACTTTTATAATCCAGAGCAGTTACTGATGAGCATACAGGCAGAGTTTCCTCTGGGGTGACGTGGATTAGATTGCAATGGAGCCAAACCACGGGCTCTAGAATGCTCTGGTCTTGAACTGAAATTGACATGTATCAGGGTGTGAAAAGGTACCCTTTCTCCTTTTTCTACTTGTCTTGTTACTGTACTTTAGCATGAAAAGGTAGAAATTTTAGTATTGTAAGCAACTCTTTTCTGCCAAATCAATCTAAACCATGCTATGGTTAAAAGACTCATGAGCACATGCATTTTGACCATGATTACCATGTTTGCTGAGAAACAAAGACTTTTTAAGGCATCTCTGGGTCACTCATAAAGTTCTAATATTTTCAAGGGTGTTGATGACCAAACTGGAGTCAGTAAATAATCATTTATTTCTACAAAGGCTTAATAGAAAGTTGTATTTTTGTCCCCCACCCCCTTTACTATGGAAAATGCCCTGAGTAGCTATTTAAAATAATCATTTAGAATAAACACAAAACAGTCTGTTAATGATGATCCTTCATCAAATGGTATCCATTTTTTATAATAAGAAGATATTAATGTGCCTAGAGTTAGCTAATTAATTAGTTAAGACAACTAAAATAAATTAAAGGCTCTGCAGACAATGGAGGTGCTGAGCAGTTAGGATGAGCATGTGTGAGACAAAAATAATTTCTCTGTATCCTCAGGGCAAGTAGGTACTTGGTAAATGTTAGTGGAATTGATTTGAATTCAGCCTTGTGAGAGATATTTAACCAGGAAAGCTTCCCTCCCCTAAATGAGCTGCTGTAAAAGCATGTTACTTCCTCCTTTTCAAGTCCTTGAATGCATCCCCATTAACACATTTTTGGGGATCACCTCGTGTTTTTTGAAAGTATTTTCCCATCTTGCTTTTAGAAATAGTGCACTGAGCGGCCAGCAGGTGGTATAGTGGTTAAGGCACTGGACTCTCACGTTAGTTGACTGAGGTTCAAGTCCTGGACTCGGTGGCTTGAAACTCATGCCAGGTGTGTATACATGGGTGCCCAAAATCCCAAGAGGAGACTGGAGGAGAAAGGAGGAGACTGGAGGAGAAGGGATTGAGGTGGTGATTGGTGGAGATTAGGGGCAAGATTTCTTGCTTTCTGTCTTTCTGGTGAGCACACATGCTCTATAGCAAGACTCACTCCAAAATAATAATAATGCACTTAAAGAGAACAGAGAGAAAGAGAGATGGATTCAATGCCACAATTCTCCAGCCTCCAATAGTTTTAGCCATAAGGTGGGAGCCATAAAAAAAAAAAAAAAAAAAAAAGATGGGCACTAATTTTTGCTATGGAGAAAATGCCTTGGAAATAGAAGTCCTGCCAGGAATATTTGGCTATGCCTTTCAGAATAATAAAATATATAAATCAGCAGTGAAAACTCAAGCTACAATACATTCTTAAAGATACTAGCTTATGGTAGTAACAAAATAGTATGGCAGAGATTTTTTTCTAATGGTTCAAGTGTCTAAAGATACTAGAAAATTCTTGTTGTGGATAAACTCCTAAATCTGCCAGACCCCCTATGAAACAGTGGGCAGATTTAAAGCTCCTTGGCACAGAGTTTCTTCTAGCGGGGGAAGAAATGGGCAGGAAACTGTGACCTTGTCTCTGCTCCCTCAAGTTGGTGCTTTCATGCACCGTGGAGACAGGTGCAGATAGAGTTTTATTTTTATGATGGAATGCTAGTTCTAATTGTGGCTCTATGCTAGAGTCATTGAGAAAACATTCTTGAACTACCAATACATACTGCTCTAGGAGTTGGTTGAGAGAACATTCTCTTATCAAACTAGTTTTGGACTTACTGAGAAACCTTTCTTTTCTGCTTTAACTAAAGGGTAATTCCTCCCTCTGAGATGCCCTTTCCTGGTCATCTGGGGCCCACCCTCCTTTCAAGCTTCACTTCCTCTTGGAGACTCTTATGAGCCAGGTGGAGATGACCACACCCTTCTCATACTCCCACTGAGTGCTGTGCTGTTTTGAGAAGCTGACGGCACATGAGAGGCCTGGTTTAAGCCAGCCTAGCAGAGGTTAGAAGAATTGTTTAGAGCCTTAAGCTCCCAAGTGAGAAAATGGAAATTAACTTTTATCTAATTATAATTGAACAATATTGATTGAGTATTACAACCCCAGTCTCCCTACTCAGAAGACACATCATGCAACTCTCTGCCTTTCCTGTCTCCTGGTAATAAGGGTAAGAGTAATTTTGGTGTCAAGTTTGCTTGCAAACCCATCCATGAAGCCTCCCACAATCTGGAGCATTTGTAACAGAGGCCACACTGTTGGAGGTCACTGGCTCTATGCTATGATCACACAGAATTCATGAAGTTAGCACGTTTCATTCTCATGAGATCATTGGATCCTGGGAAATAAATTGGTGGATTCCTGTTTTACAGACATGTCAACAAAGGCTGAGCAAAACTGCCCTTCCTGCTCTTGACATATTAATTCAGGAAAATTATACAGACCAGAGGTTTTGAACTCATTGGAGCCCAGAAAGGAGCTTTTCAAACCATATCTAGCCTCTTCTTCAGGACAGAGGTCCTGACTGGGCCAATTAGCTAATTCCATATTTAAATTCCTTTGAATATTTTATAGGAAAAAGACTAACATACACTGCATATAAAGTTGCAAATCAAGCCTCAAAGCAGATCTAGGTTAACTTCTGCAGATTTGGTGACCGACATCTCCCTCCCTTCTCCCATAACCTCCCCCCTCCAGTAAAGAAGTCCATTGTCTCATCTGCCACCATCAATCAAGTTTGTTGCATAGTTGGTCTAGTTAACTAGAAGTCTGTCTTCGAGTTTCTTGAATGACCTAATCAGCTGGATATCGTACATAGTTGGAGAGTGCCGGAAATCTTACTGAACAGTTTCAGTTTTTTTTTTTTTTTAAGGACTTGGAGTCCTAAAATTGTTTTAGAGTATGTTGACAGATATTTGACCAAGTAGCATTCAGGTTTTCATGTAAGTTTGAAGTGGAATGTATCTTGTTCTTCATAGCACTTTCTGGGTTAAGGATGAGCCCCCAAAATAATAGGTGCTCAAGGAAACTGTGCTAAAAAAAAAAGTTACTGTTGCATTTTTGATATGCAAGTGGAACTCCTGCTTGCATACTTTGACACCTATGCATACAATCAAAAGAAAGGAGTCATGTACTATTTTACTATGAAATTTTTGAGAACATTCATGAAAAATACCATCTCTTTAAAATTTTTTTTTTGAAGCAAGGCATGCAAGTATGTAGAAAAAAGGAGAAGGAATTTTGCCTCTGAAGAAGTTACACTGGTTTCTAGGACTTTGTTCAAAGTTCCTGAGCTGAAGCAAATTTATGACAAAATTGAACAATAACTGGGCCAGTGATGACAGCATATAGTAGGAAGGTATAGAAATATCCTTCTTTAAACACTTCTCTGAGTAGGTCATTCATTCACTTGGGGAATCAGTGTTTTAATGTTTACGACTCATCACAGCTCCAAAAAACCACAAGATTATGTCTGTCTTTTTCCAGTTAGTATCCTCAGTGGGAAGGCATATAATGTGTGAACTTTTGAGCACTGAATTTCATAGCTAAACCACTATCTTTGTGGACTTCTCCCTCTCCCTGGCCCCAAGAAAACAGCTGGTTGTAATCACATATGAATGGAAAAAGTTGAGAATTCAGAGGCAGAAAACCATCACACTATGATGCTCACTGTGTCCCTATAGCAAGAAAGCGCCAAAGAAAGTTTTATCTTCTTTTGTGTAATCCACCAAGGAGATATCACTGACATTTACCATCAGCCTGTCCCCTTCCTGCAAAGAGAACATGGCGCCTAGGTAGACGGGCTGGAACCAGTTGCTGCCTATTTCACACACAGACTTGGTGCCTGTTAAGAGTTGGGTGGGCTCAGGGTAGCTGTCCGTTACCTTGGTGATGACCACTATGATAGAATCTGGCTTGTTTGGTTGGCTTCCCTGGTTGATTTTCCCACACTTAGATGTCGTTCCTCGGAATGTGACTTGGGAGTAAACAAAATAGTCTCCCGACTCCGGGATCACCAGGAATTTATTGGTGTAGTTCATGCGGTTCTTGGTGAAGGCCAAGCCTAGTTCATGTTCCCAATGTAGAGCCGGGAACTGATTTTTCAAGCGTGTTGTGGGAATCTGTCTCACAACTGGAAAGACAAGAAAGAGATTTAATTTGCTTATGTTGGAATCTGAGTGCTTTGCTAAGAAAGTCTCATACCATTTTCAAAGAAGAGTAAGGCGATTGAATAGTAGCAAGTGCCCTGAGGAGGAATGCATGAAAGATAGTAGAAGACATATAGTTATTTGTTCAGACAATAAGTAGCAGCTTGGGCAGGTGACCTGGGCAAATTACTCTTCCTTTCTGAGCCTGTGTTTTCTTACTTGACAATTTTTTTTAATTAAATTTTTAAAAAGCAACTTATATATCTCGTGAGGAGAGAAAGAGAGAGAGAGAGAGAGAGAGAGAGAGAGAGAGAGAGTGAGACAGAGCGAGAGAGCAAACATGTACTCCCAATAGGGTCTTGACGTCAATATCCACTACCAATTTCAGCCAGCCTGGATCACATTTGCACCTGGTATGGGCAAGGAGCTCTCTGGAGAGAGTGAGACAGAGTGAGAGAGCAAACATGTACTCCCAATAGGGTCTTGACGTCAATATCCACTACCAATTTCAGCCAGCCTGGATCACATTTGCACCTGGTATGGGCAAGGAGCTCTCTGAATGCAGACCCAGGATCTTCCCATGTAGGTCAGTCTTACACATTGTCACATTTTGCCTTTGCCCCAGTGTCCAACCTTCCTAACAACTTTGAATTTTACTTGAGCCCTGTGATCCTAGAAAATAGAAAAGGTTAAAAAGTCCTTTCTTTCTTTCTTTCTTTCTTTTTTAACGTTTCTGAAAATGGTTTATTGCCAAGAACCATCCTTCCCAAATAATTTAGGTAAGATCACGTGTTCACCTATGACAAGGCCAGACTCCATACCCTCCAAATTCCTATTTTTTGTCTCATAAATGATGAGTTGAATAGTTCTAGCTCCACTGATTAATCAGGACAAAATTCTTGTTAATCAAACATTGGGTAAGGTCCTCTTCTTCCCAGGCCACTCCGAACTTAGGCCCACTGTGTACCTGAGCAATAGACAGCTTTTCCTAGGAAGAGACTGGTTTGAGGATAAAAGTCTCTGATTGAGTCATACCAACCTTCCAAAGCACTTCCTCACACCTTGTTCATCTCAGTTTTGTTTATTCTTCTCGAAAAGAAAAACCCTTTTAGCCTAACTCTTGAGAAACTTACAGACTCTTATGTTAGAGTATCCTCCCTGTTGCAACAGTCCCTTCCCCATCACAGTATTTTTTTTTTTTTTTTTTTTGCTACAGGGCATGTGTGCTTGCCAGACAGACAGAGAGAGACAGAGAGATAGAAAGCGAGAAATCACCCCCCAGGGGGGATCGTTACGCCAAAATCCCTTCTCCTTCATTCTTCTCTCGGGATCTTGGGCATGCACGTACACACACCTGGTGTGAGTTTAAGCCACTGGGTCCGGGACTTGAACCTCGGTTGGCTACATGGGAGTTCAGTGACATAGCCATTAGGCTAACTGCTGGTCTCCACAGTACTCTTTTTCTCTCCCACACCTTCTCTTTCTCCTGCAGTGATTCTTTTTTTTTTTTTTTTTTTTTTTAAATAAAGCGTCTCCTTCCTAAATCTGGGTTTGTCTTTTATTTGACATATTTTTCCTTAAAAAAAATGAGATTTATTTGACAAGTATTTCCTTAAAACATACTGGGATCAATCTATTCCATTCTCATAGGTAAGAGGTGAGTGATGGCAAGTTGGCATCTACTGTGGAAAAGATGGGAAGAAATGGTGCGTGTAAAATTTCTAGCTATTAGGAGGAATATCCTCTAAACTACACGGGTTTATTAGCCTTCTTGTTTCAGACATGTTATACTCCAAAGAGAACATTCTGGAGAGAGTCAGATATTCCTTGTCACTGCCTTCCAATCCTATGCTCCAAAGTCACATAAAATGCAGGCAGTAATTAATTAGGAAACAATATGTAGGACATATATTGGAACCAAAGATTCAGAAAAATCTTGGAAATGCTTCTCCATCATCAACAGGGCTGAAATATAAGTAAATCCAGATAAGAGACCTGTAGATTGTAAGGAAACTGGGCTTTGGCCACCTAGACCCAGTTCTGACCTGATTCTGCAGTATGTTACTGGATTAACCAATTATGTATGTTGGTTCTCTTTCCTGAGCCTCAGTCTCCTGTCTGTAAACTTGGCATAAAGTTCTTTAGAGTCCTGTTGTGAAGATGAAGTGCATGGAATAGACAGGAACATTTTGATAGACATGATAGATACAGCTGTATTTAAAGCATATTTGTTTTTGTTCCCCGAATATAACAGCATCTTTCATTTTGACAGATTAAAAATGAACCCATTTCATTTTCTATCTCTTTATATGTTCTTATGTTTGCATTATTCACAAGTATCATTATATAAAACACGAATGAATGCTCTCAGGAAGTATGTCTATAGCTGAAGAAAATGAATACAACGAAACCATTGATTCAAACCATTGATTTCAAATAAGATAATTTGCAATAGAACTAATTCTTTTCAGGAGAAATAAAAACATTTAAATTTCCTAGAATTTCTTTGGAAATCCAGAGCAATCACCACCATGTACTAACAGTGCAGTTAAATATATATATATATATATATATATATAATTTTTTTTTAATGGGTTACTGAGGCTTTTCAGAAATCTGGTTCTTAGATTTTCTAATGTGTCTTTTCTATTACTAAATGTACTTGAGTTTCCTTTGTAACTGTAAAACATATTCAGAATATATGGTCTTCTCTTGTTCTTGTATCAAATGGCCCCTATAGAGTTCTGGTGCTTCTTTGCAAAATGTGTAAAGGGTTTTTATTAGTTGTCTCTGATAGTCTCTCTCTACTCCCTGTGGATAATTCATTGCATTAAAAAACAACAAATCTATTCCCAGATGATGTCTAAACCAAATTCATTTAGTTTCTGGACAGGCAAATTCTATTACATTGGTATGCAATTAATTACGTCTAGACAGCAGCAAGTCAAATTCGGTAAAGAAGTATGTTGTAATGGAAACCATAGTTTTGTTTTTGTTTTAAAGAGAGATTTCTGCTATAGGATACGTGCGCTCACTGGAGGGACAGGGAGACACAAAGCGAGAATTCATTTCCCCCATAGGGGATGGCCATGTCACAATCCCTTCTCCTCCATTCTCGTCTTGAGATTTTGGGCACATACACACATGTGTTTGGTGTGAGTTTAAAGCCACTGGGTCTGGGACTTGAACTGTGGTCAACTAGGAGTCCAGTGATGTAACCATTATGCCATCTGCTGGTCCTGAAACCACCGTTTTTGTTAAAGAATTATTTATTTTTAACTTTATTATTATTATATTATTATTTTCTAGTTTGATGAGAGAGAGAGAGCAAGCTACCAGGTCCAGGACTTGAATTGTAGTTGTCCTTGTAGGAGTCCAGTGCCTTTAACCACCATGCCACCTGCTGGCCTTCTAAAACCACAATTTTGAGAGGAAAAAACTTGAATCTTGACTTTTCTACATCCTAGTTATGTGACTTGGGACAAATGACTCCTATTGTTTGAAACTCAGTGTCCCCATCTGTGAATGGGAATGAATTATCTCTACTTCTTTGGACTGAAATGCGGATTAAATATGATTGTGGATGTTATTTTGCATGTTATAGTACTTGGCATATACTGGGAGCTCAATAGAAGTGCCCTAATTTATATTTCCCTTATTCATAGGAAGAGGGGTGGAATCTCCATACTCAGACACTTTTTAGAATTTTTCTGCACAGCCTGTTCAATCTATCCCATTCTTTTTTTTTTGGAGAGGTTTTTGCTATAGGGTGCGTGTGCTCACCAGAAACACAGAAAGAGAGAGAGAGAGAGACAGAAAGTGAAAAATTACCCCCCAGAGGGGTTGGCCGTGCCACAATCCCTTCTCCTCCAGTCTCCTCTTGGGATCTTGGATATGCACACACACACACCTGGGGTGAGTTTAAGGCACTGGGTCTGGGACTCAAACCATGGTCGACTACATGGGAGTCCAGTGACATAGCCATTATGCTAACTGCTGGTCCCAATCTATCCCATTCTTATAAATAAAAATGGCAACTTGACTTCTTCCTGGTGCTAATTCTCACTCACCATGAACAATTTCCCTCTAATCAAATGGTAATATAAATGTCTTAGGCCAGAAGACTATCCCTCTGCAAACTGCAAATTTTCTTATAGGTCAGATGAATGTGCTTGCTTTTTAAAATCTCCAGTTATTCAATGGACTTTCCATACCTTCTTCAGCATTGTCTTGCTCTTTCCTCTGGAATCTCAGAGGAATATAAAACTCCAGGTGTGAGGTGCCTGGAATTTCCATGGTAGACTTAGGAAGCTGGCCAACTAGTGGTATTAGATTCCTCTTAATTGCTTCATATTAATGATGATTTTGCAAACTCCTTCCTTCGTGTAAGCAGGAGTGTCCAGTGACAGCATCTTGAATAGGGCATGGATGGCATAGACAAATTGGCAACTCGAAGGACCAGTTGCAGAATGATCTAAAAGGTCAAGTGTGAGGAAAGCCATTTTTGAATCACTGGGTATGTAAAGAAAAGAGAGTGACAGGAGAGGAAGAGAGCTTATAGAATCTGAAAGAAAACGCCCAAGAGACATAGATCTTGAGGTCACTCACAGAGAGAATGACATCTCAAGAGGAGATGTCTGAGAGAAGGAGCCTGTTATCAAAGGGTATGGATTCCAGTTTGAAGCTACTACTATAGTAAGTTTTGGTAAATGTGCTGAAAGAAACCTTAGGCCTATGGACCATGTTCTTCTGGAAAACACAGAAAGGAGGCTTACCTGTCAGATGTGCCCTTGGCTTATTCCTGTCAGCTCTGAGATCTGTGTCTGTAACAAAAGAAGAAACTTTGTATTAGGCGAAGGGGGACTGGAGTGTAGACAGCATTTTGGGCATTGCACAGTGCCTGTGATGGGAGAGAAGAGATGATTTCCTGCAGCTTGGTCCCGTTCTGCTCATTGAGGGTTTTAGAGTGGAGCCTATGGCGGGCACTGCAGGTATTGGAGACAGGAGAAAGTGTCTTGAATATAAAGGAATCTTGGTCCCATAAGTTTGAACAACTTATCTAACCATCTGAAATTATTTTCTCACCTCTTTATGTTTTAATTTTTATTTATTAGGTGCCATAGGGCATGTGTGCTCACCTGTAGGGCACGTGTGCTTACTAGAGACCAACAGAGTCAGAGAGAGAGAGGGAAAATGAAATAGCACTTCGGGAGGGGTATGTCACACCACAATACCTTCTCTTCCCATCTTTTTCTCGGTATTTTGGAGCCTGGTGTATTTTTCAAGCTGCTAGATCTGGGACTCAAACCCGGCAGTCAGCCATATGAGATCCAGTCCCTTAAGCACCATGCTGGCCCTAAGATGGGCAATCTTTGTGGAGAGTGGTTAACATGATCCTTAGCATATGGTACATTCTCAATAAAGCACATCTTGCTTTTCCTTTCCTCATGCCATTTCCTGGGAACTGACTGGCTGTTTTGCTTCTTCATGGTCACTTTTAACTATTAGGTTTTTTCTATGCAAAAATGTGTCATGACTTTCCCAACAACCCAATATAATCCCTGAGGTATATGGATGACCCACCAGAAATGAGATGAGATGGGGAACAACTGGGAACCCATTTTTTGAGAGAGATTTTTTGCTATAGGGTGAGTGTGCTTACTTGAGAGACAGAAATCAGGAAATCACCCCCTAGGGGAGTGACCATACCTCAGTCCCTTCTCCTTCATTCTCCTTTTGGGATTTTGGGCACTCACGTACACACGCCTGGCATGAGTTTCAAGCTACCTGGTTCAGGGCTCTAAATGTGGTCAGTCATGTAGGAGTCCAATGCCTTACCCTGAGGTATATGGATGACCCACCAGAAATGAGATGAGATGGGGAACAACTGGGAACCCATTTTTTGAGAGAGATTTTTTGCTATAGGGTGAGTGTGCTTACTTGAGAGACAGAAATCAGGAAATCACCCCCTAGGGGAGTGACCATACCTCAGTCCCTTCTCCTTCATTCTCCTTTTGGGATTTTGGGCACTCACGTACACACGCCTGGCATGAGTTTCAAGCTACCTGGTTCAGGGCTCTAAATGTGGTCAGTCATGTAGGAGTCCAATGCCTTAACCACTATGCCACCTGATGGCCCCAAGGACAATATGTTGTAACTGTTGTGATAAAAATGATATTGGTGATGATAAAAGCAAAAATCTATTATGTGCTTTTGGTGTGTTAAACATTGCTCTAATTCCTTTATAGAAATTAACTAATTTATTATTATTATTATTTTTGGAGAGGTGTTTGCTATAGGGTGTGTGCGCTTGCCAAAAAGACAGAGAGAGACAGAGAGACAGAAAGTTAGAAATCATCCCCCAGGGGGGATGGCCATGCCGCAATCTCTTCTCCTCCATTTTCCTCTTAGGATCTTGGGCATGCATACACATATGCCCAGAGTGAGTTTAAGCCACCAGGTCCAGGACTCAAACCATGGTCGACTACATGGGCATCCAGTGACATGGCCATTATGCCAACTGCTGGTCCCGGGAATTAACTAATTTATTTTACACTAACTCTGTAGGGTAGGTACTAGTCTAATTATTTTTATAGGTGAGGAGACAGGTGACTGATTTGCCCAAAAATCACACTGTCAGTGAATTCTAGAGCTGGGGTTTGAGTTCGGGCTATTGGCTCCACAGACAATGCACTTGACCATGGTGCCATTTTGGACTTTAGGAAGAAGTCTCACTTCTCTTTGGGTTTGCATCCCTTCACTTAGCAACTTGATAATGAAAGGCCCATCTAGCCTCCTCCATGTGAGAACTACTATAAATGTTCTTATTTCTCACAAGATAAAGCATCAAAGATAAACATACTTACAAGCTCGCTGATGCAAATGTTCAAATTCTCGTCTTGTCAAAGCCTGCTGGGAAAGAAACGTATGGCTCAGATCACCCATGTTCATTATGACCCCAACACCCACACAACTGCTCATAGAGTGGGTATCATTAACCTGCTGCTGCTACCCACCCTGGGTACTTGCCATGGAGGGAGATGGAAATGAGACCATTTAGTTGATAGGAATCTTGCCCTCAGTCTATACTTTCCTCCTCCAGCACCCACAATGACCTTTCCTTCTCTTTCACTTGTCTCTGAACCTCAATTTTAAAGTTCTCTCCTGAGAACTGAAAACTATTTTTTTTTTTTTGAGAGGTTTTTACTATAGGGCGCCTTTGCTCACCAGAGATACAGAAAGTGAGAAATCACCCCACGGAGGGTGGTGGTGGTGGCCACTTCTCCATTTTCTTCTCGGGATTTTGGGCATGCATCTATATGCATCTTGCATGAGTTTTAAGCTGTCTGGTCCAGGATTCAAACCACCTTCAACTATGTGGAGTCCAGCAACGTAACCATTATGCCATCTGCTGGTCCCCTGAGAGCTTTTCTTGTTCCATTCTAGACTTCACATCTTGTATTGCTTTTACTATTTGAATAAATAATACCATTGCAATTCAACTCCTGGGCATTTACCCAAAACATAGGAGCATACTCAGTTGGAAAGATCCTTGCACATCCATGTTTATCGAGGCATCATTTATAATTGGTAAGACATAAAACAAACCTGAATGTCCACAGATGAATG